AGATGGAGCCCCAAAACATATGTAGCTTTCTACAGATCAGATGACTTGTGAGAGTATGCTATTCAGAGCTCATATGTGCTCCATGTTTTGCAGATGTCATAGGGTATAAATATATATATTCTCAACAGCACTATTTACCTAACATTTAAGGCCACCTTCCTGCTTCCTACTCACTCTCAATTCCATTTATTTACCTTCTCCTTCCAGTCACAATATTCTCCTCTTTTATTTTATAGCCTTAACATGTGCAGCCCATGACTCATTTGGGGATTAAAAAAAAAATAAAATAATTCTTTGATGCCTGATTGTCTGCAGAGTCTCAATTGCATCATCAAACACAACTGCCACTAGCTACATAAACTGTTCTGGCCTGCAGGCTTATGCTAAGATTACAACAGCAAAAATATTCTATGGTATTGTAAGTAGAAGCTGTTCACACACCATGTAGGTGAAACAGGTTAGAATAATTTTCTTCAACAAGTTAAGGAGACTTGACCTTTACATTTTTACAACTACTGAAAGAAAAGTTCCTGAGATTAATTTACAAAGACTGGGATTTGTACAGCTCAGAAAATGTAATAAATCTCCTGGGATTAATAAAATACCCTCGATATATCTATGTTTCCTCTTTCGGGGTGATTACTTTCAAATAAAGATGTGAACCTTGAGGAGCAAGAATGTAACAAAACTCTCACTACTATCTCAAAAGAAAGGCAACACAATTTGCTGAAACTGCAACACTGCTTTTTGTGCAGTGACAATAGTTTACACCAGGAGTAATTTTTTTGTTGTTGTTAACATTTGTAATAGTTGAAGTGGAGTTAAGAAGCCTGGGGGAAAACAGCTGACCTTTACAAGAAAAAGATAAAACCAACCAAATTCTTTACCTTTGCCTATTGTATGATCATAAAAGCTATGAAATTTCTACAAGCTCCAAATAATTATGATTGGCATGCCAATATAAAGGAAATTCCAACTTGGAAAAGAATTTAATTGTTGATCTGAGCTCCCCAGTGCTCCAGTGCTCCAGTGCAATCAACAATGCCACAAAAAATTTCACAGGGATACCCAGATTACTTTGGGAGGTAGATGTGGAAGAAAGCAGAATTCAAGCTATCTCCACAGTCATCAGTACAAAGTGGACAAAAGAAGAACTGTTTAAGTCATTTAAAAAACATCTGGTAAATCTGTAACAAATACATACAAAATATGCTATCATTTAAAATCTTAAATCCGGCACTCAAGTTGCAATATGTTTTGTTTGTTTTTTTTTTTGGGGGGGGGGTCTTTTTTTTCTTTGGGGAACGTCAAAAGATAAGAGGTATATGTGGTTTTTCGTTAACTGGTTACCCCATACATGAGGCATTATCAAAACTGAGTAACTGAGTATCAGACATTGAGCTGTGACCTCCCTGCACTGAATTATTTCATTCATTTTACATGTTTAGATCATAAATTCTTCAGGGTAGATTGCATCTTTGGATGCAAGCTACATATAGTGGAGCTACTGTCTTGTATCAAGCCCCATCTGTTACTGTCATTTTAATTCCAAAATAGGGCTTGAAATAGTAATTACGAACACTGGTCAGCTTTCATATTTCTGCTAGAATTAGATACTAGGAAAGCAGAGCAGGAAATTCTGCCCTTATACTTCTGCAGTATGTACAGGAATAATTGACATTTTTGTGTTGGAGAATCAGGATATGCTCTCCTTTAGGGATGTGTGTAGATATGTATGTACATGTCCAAAATCCATTTTATAAGTGATTACAGCAAATCAAATCCAGTCACTATCCTTCCTTCTGTTCTACTAAAAGCAGCTCTTCTGCCTTTTTTTTTTTTTTTTTAACTGGGAAAAAAGCCAGGCCTGCTGAATGCAGAGATCTGTAGGAACACACCATTTTGAATCACAGATGAAAGACACAGGGACACGCTGGCACATTAGTGCAGTGCTGGGGAGTCTGGGACTAGAAGTTCAGAGGCTGAGTTTGTGCACCAAGAAGAGTTTTGGCTTGATGCTTCAACAGCAGATGAAGCTTTGGTCTTGGACTAAACCTCCATTTCCATTTTCAAATCTTTAAGGCTGAGCCAAACACCTTCTGTTATGCTTAATCATTCATTTACTCAGGCTTACCCACTGTCATGTATTTATGGGGTATAAAGCTATAAAAGGATTAGAAGTCATCTAATGTGAGTGACCATAAAAACTTTCCATTTAAACTTTCAAGAGAGGTCAGAGGAAGGGGAAAGACTTTTTTTTTTCAGTTATCAGTGACAGAGGGACCACACACCGTGTGGAAGATTGTTCTAAAGGCTAACTGATAAAAGGACAGAGGAAAAGGCTTCTTTGCTTCCAGTTTGAACTCACTTATCTTCAACTTTCTCATACACACTTCTGATGTACTGAAAACCCTTTATCAAAGCTATATCTTCCTGAGATAATTATAGACCTCTTACTCGTTAACTTTATCCTCCTTAAGCCCAGCAGGGTTATTTCTTTGATCTAAGACTCTGGTGCATATTTTCCATTCTTTTGGACATCATAATTTTAAAACACATGAAAGCCTATGTCCTTGTTATAAGATCTATCAACCATTTAAAAGAAAATATTTTGAATCTGTGCAGGGTAACAGTGATCTCAAATTCAGCCTTTTTTCTTATCCGCATGAGGTATGCTTGCATTTTAGCATAATAAGAATGCAATGATTGAGGAACTACATACTAAAAGTAATAAAAGTATCATTAAAAATTAAGAACACTGTGTTTTTTAATTATCATCATGTTTATCTTATAGTTAGAACAGTTCTTCCACCTTCTACGGAAAATATTAATCCCCTAAAATATTCTTAATTCAATAAAAATGCTGGATAAAGTGCAGTCTGTACCAAAAGATGTTTTAAAACTTGTACAAAACTCAAAAGCTGAATTCACTGAATGTAGAGGATAATTTTTATGTTTATGCAAGTATGTCTAGTGATAGTCATGACTTCATATAGCCATATAAATAACAAGATTATGTTACAACTCCCCCCCATTTTCTTCAATTCACCTTTTCCTTCTTTTTCTGTATGCAAAACATTAAATTATTCAGTAATTTAATTACTGCCAATTTTATTCCCTATTCACCTAATTTGATAGGAAAGCAAAAGCCAAGGCTTTGGCACCACAGAGCTGGAGGACAACAGGGCAAATGCAGCAGCATATTTTATAGCTCAAGAACCTCCTCAGAATTTTAGAACATTTATTCACCATTCAGCCAAAGCTCTCCCAAGAGCAATACAGAGTTCTTTCGCTGGCAAGAACAAAAGGGAGCCATATAACTGCATTTATACTCATTCTTTTTATCTTCCACGTACAGTATGTTAGCACACTAGTAGAAAGTGAGTATAGGTTTTAGTCTGGTTGTCAGTATTACTCCGTTACACCACAGTTCACAGAACACTACAGTAAAGACATCTAGACAGTTTAACCACCTGGTGTTTGAATTAAGAATGTAACACTGTCCTTTTTAAGCACTAGATGAATTTCAGGTTTCAACTGCAACGACATTTTTCAGCGTCTACGATTTCCTTTCATTTTCAATTTCTGTTATAACAAAGTTATTTTAGGAACATTCCAAACGTAAGTGAAAGGCTACACTTGTAACCATCGAACCACGTGTAGTCTTCGTGGGCAGAAATATAACCTTTGACTTTAAGTAATTAAGGATAAAAGAATCTGATTTATTTTAATGTAAAGCTATTATGGAAAAAAAAAAAAATAAATAAATATGTGTGTGTGTATATATACACACACACACACACATATATATATATATACTGACATGCTGCTCCAAAATGGAAATCACAGAGCAGGCAAGGGTAGACAAACTTCACATGTACTGCCTCAATTCCAGGAAAGGTCAAGTCAGAGACTGGGCCAGATCAGACATTCTCCTTCAGAACATAAGCAATAGCAGCACATAATTCCTTAATATACAGCAATTCCCTATAAATTGATGGACTTACTATGTGTCATATTCCCTCAGTGGGATGATTGCTATATAGGTCTGCCAAATGTTTTTATAACCAACAGCTATGAATATGCAAACATCTGCAAAAAGACATTATTTTCCTAATCGATTATCTGGAGTAAAAATTCTGAATCAGCTGGTCAGAAAGATGTTATCTTGTAATTTAACCAGCACAGAGAAATTCTGTGGTTTATGTAAGGAAACTTAAAAAAAAAAAAAAAAAAAGACAAACAAGCAAACAAACAAACAAACAAAACCCCAACAACAAAACTTGTTCAAATGCTAAAATTATTTAAAAGAAATGAAAAACATCTCTGCAGAAACTGCATGACTAGGAATAAAACTACACCATTCCATTTTGCTTTCACCATTCCATCTAACAGCAGTTCTTTTTCCCACAACTTTCGCATTTTCATATTATAGTCTTTCTCTACTCAACTTACTTTTGTAATAAAATATGAAACAGGAAAACAGACTGGGAAAATAGGCTCAGTTTTTAGTTACAGACTACTTGTTCTGTGTGAGGAAAATAAATAAGAGAAAAATAGGAAAAAAAAAAAATCCCAAACATCAGAAGCAGGAAAGAAAGAACCCCAAAATATTAAGAACTTTTTATTTCAGATTTCTATATGCTCCACTGCATTTTGAAAAATGCTGGACAGAGTTCAGAAATAGTCAAGAACAGATATGGGTAACCATTATGATCAAGACAAAGCTGAAGCCCTTAATAGGAATTACGCATGAAAATTTAGGCCTGATGAGATGAATTCTCTTTCAGCACTTTAATTGCTTTTTCCATTGTTGTTCTTCCTTTTTTTTTTTAATTTAAAATTTAGAATCTTCTCTTACTACTTTGGAAAATATCAATTCCTTTCAATTCCAGAGGAATCTAGAGTTAATCTGTTTCTAAATTAATTTTCTGCTTACAAAAAGATGATTAGCCAGAGAATATACACTTAGATATTTTAGACATTAAAGGCCGATTTACCTTGTCACCTTCAGAGAAAGTTACTCCATCAATGGCCCTTTTCCAAGTAATCTCTGGGATGGGTTCTCCTTCTGCTTCACAGATAAGGGTGGCTTTCCCATTCTCAAACGTGGTTTCATTTTTAAGTTGTATTATTTGAGGCTGTACTGTTAAAAATACAAATTATATTACTCATGCTGCACAAAGAAAGTCATGTCAAAATCTATTTTACCTTTATTAAAGGCTTAATATTACCATCTATAAGACCAATCAACTTTCCAGACTTCGAGTTGAACAACAACCATATCTGTATGCCTGATGACCTGGACTCCTGGTTCAGTACAGCTGACATGCCCAGCAGTGCCTGCTCCTTTGCTGGGGTTTTGTGGGATGGATCCTGGCTGATGAAGCCCCTGCCTGGGTGGCTGTGTTTGTGTGCTCTGTTCCTGGCTCACTATCCCTTAGGGGCATCCTCACTAATCTCTGGCACTCAGAATGATGCAGAGATTCAACCATAAAACAATGGTCCTGCACCTGGGCAGAACAACTCCATGCACCAGTACAGGGAGTACTGACCGGCCCTCAGCTCTGCAGAGTGGACCCAGAGTGTCCCCGTGGACAAGAAGCTGACAATGAACCAGCAATTCACCCTTAAATAGCAGAATTTGCATAAATACCTGATAGAGTTTAGTAGAGATAGAGCCAGACTCTTCTCAGTGATGCCAGGTTACAGGACAAGAGGCAATGGGCACAAATTGAAACACAGGAAAGAAAAAACCTTTTTTACTGAGAGGGTGACTAAACAGCAGAAAAAAAGCTGCTATGGAGATATCCAGATATATCACTGTGGAGTCTCCATCCTTGAAGATATTCAAAACCCTGCTCTGACTGACCCTGCTCTGAGCAGGGGGCTATACTAGGTAGTTTCCAGAGTTCCTTACTGCCTTAGGCACGCTTTGATTCTACATAAATCTGTGTTTGTCTTCAAATACAAATTACTGGGGGGGAAATAGAAATATTAGTATTCTTAGATTTTGATCTTTAGCGATGTCTGTCTTACACAAATTACTGAATTTAACAAAATCCCCAGATAACAAACATACTGTTCTGTAGTAACACTATAAAGAACTGAAGAGCCAGAATTATTTATAAGTAAATTGGCAATAAGATACATTTTAAAAATTCCAGATATTGTTTGCATTCTTCAAATCGTTCCACTTTATAGCAACAAGTACACATCAACTACAGCTCTCAAACTACACCATACCTCACCAGGTTACTTACATATGCAATTGAATTTCTGCTTAGAGGTGAACACTTTTATTTAGAGGATTTATCTGTACAATATCATATACAAACTCTCTTGTAGAACTGTGCATAGAATATTACTGTCTTCCATGACATTCAAATACCTTAAAAAATGTTTTGGTCCTATAAATTCATTCACATGTAACTGTTAAGAAGCTTCTCTGAATCCATCCATTTTACACATTAAATGAGACACACCACTGGAAAACCTAGCATGTAATTATGTAATAAGAATATGATTCAATATATTTACACACAAAACCAGTAAAGTAAGTTTACATGAGTGAATTAAATTTTGACAGCTCTTAACATCTATTGAAATTAATGTATTATCTATGTAGTTTTCCCAAGTTTTGCTTTTGAGGAAGAACTACTATAGTATATTCTATATGAAGCAGAAAATAAACAGAGAAGTGTCCTATTTTCTAATGGGATTACTAAAGTATACACTATGCAGAAGAGTAATACTGGCTTATGTTAGTGGATCCAAGCGGGAAAGAGAATAATTTAGATTGGAAGGGACTCTAGGAGCTCATCTTTACCAATCTCCTCACCAATACAGGGTCAACAGACCTTGTTCAGACCAGATTTCTCAGGGATTTGTTGAGCATTATCTTAAAAAACGCCAAGAACAGAGTGTAGAGCCTTTCACACCAGACTGTTGCAGTGCCTAGATGTCCTCATGGTGAAGAATAGTTTCCTACATCTAGTTTCCTGCTTCATTTTATAATAACTTTCATTTATGACTACTGTCTCACAGATGCTCCATTCAGCATCACCAAGAAAAACAGTAAAACCGGGTTCAAACCTGCTGTATATCCAGATATATCTTCCACCTCTCTTTTAAACATTTCCACCACACCATTCTTGGTCTTACTTCTCATTCCTTATCTCCACATTCCTGTTGCTTATCTACTGCCTGTTCATGCTTGACTACTACAGTAAACTATTGTTTACTGCACAGAGATGAAAAACAAGTAATATTTTGCCTAACAAAGTTCTGAACTAATATCCTGCTTCATTAAGGTATAATCTATGGTGAGTGACATCATGTGCAGAACAAAAATACCCTGTGTGATCAGGGACTCTTGAAATGTCAACTGGATCCAGCTTTATGGGATGCACTAGAAGGCAGTAAGCTAAACATTACAGCAGGACACCAATGTGGCCAAGAAAAGCTGAAGTTCTCCTCAGTGGTATAGTATAACAAGAGATATCAGTTGAAAGAACTACAAAAGAAGAATTAAAAGTAAAGAATGACTATGTTATCTTCAAGATAACTTCAGTTATTACTCTTTCAGGATCATCCAAATGCATACGAAATATATTACCGTGGTGCTCTATTTCTATAGCCATGTCTCCTGGCTACAGTATAATACGTTCTTTCCTTTGTCACTATTGATATAATACCATTTCTGAAAACAAGGAGCTATTGAGCTATTGCAAATATACCGCTCATTTAAAAAAAAAGCATCATACATAGTATTTTATATCAAAAATTTGCAAAATTTTGAATTACATTATTTCCATCAGAATGAGAGGATTTCCCCATCTGCACCCCATGACAAACAATATGATCTGTTCAAGATGATGCATGTTCTAAAACAAGTAAATAATGCTTTTTAGTTTTTAATTTTAGACTTACATTCTAAATTACTTTAAGGCCTTCAAATGGATCACTACAAGACAAAAAGGTTTAGCTTGACATTTTAGACATGAGCAGCTGACATTTAAAGGAATAAGCACTGATTAATCATCAAATATATCTAGATGACAGTTATTACTAAGAAGAAGCAGAGTGCTCATACGGGGGATATTATTTAGTTGCTTCATTTTTGTAGGTCAGAAGTCATAACTTGCTATTGATTAGAAATTTTTACACTGATACTTTTTATTATGTTTTGGACATTGGAAAATATCAAAATACTTTTGCGCACATGTAAATAAATATATTTATTTGAGAATGCCAAGAAAGAAATACTGAAACAGTTGTTTGCTGCCCCATCTCCAATCCCTTAACTGTTCTTTTTAAACCAACATGGTCATTTTCAAACTGAATTGGTATTTGCTTGCTGTACTCTAGTAAATATAAACCAAATTAAAATACAGGGTCTTGAAGTGTAACCCCAGGAAGCCTCCAGGTATTCGCTGCTTTTTTTCAGACAAGAATATTTGTATTACAATGTACTTAAAAATAGTAAACTGCATGAACTGACTGAAATGAAAGAAGGCTTGAATACAGAAAGGAGTTATGCTTAAGCTCCATTAAAATTATTTTATTTAGCAGGTAGAGGAACTGCTTATTACTAGACATGCATTTTTTAAAATATTAACAAAGCAGTGCAGCCAAATAAATAGTATTTACTGGTTAGAAAGTTTGCTCTCTGAGCAGAGAAGGTTGGTTTTAAGTTCTCTAACGCTTCTTCAATAAACAACTTTCAGATTACTTCCTTGGTCTCTTCTGGATTTGTCTCAGACAAGGGCTAAGCTCATTGCTGTGTAACTACAGCCTTCCCAAAAAAGCTTAAGAAGAACGTGGACGGCAATCTGAGGTTCTGGATTTGTTACTGGTTGCTTACAACTGATTTACTGGAAAAAGTGCACAATTTATTGCATTCACAGAGTTATACCCATATCTTTGAGTTTTATCAGATGTGTATGGTTTCATCAGAAGCAGCACATATATAAAACTTAGACGGTCCTGATTATATCTCATTAAAAGAACTGTTTTAAGCAGTTTTGTTAATACAAACATGGATTTACTGTTAAGAGGTTTAGTATATGTCTGTGTTGATGCCTGATTGGATTTCTTGATTAATATGATACATAAGGAATCATACTCTTACACTGTCTTCCTGTACAGCCACATTTGAATCATGTAGCAAAATTGCAACCATGTCCTCCTGGAAATTGCCTGAATTTAGTAAACAAGCTAGAGCCCAACAAGGAAATTACCTAAGAAATAGATTCTTGCACCTTGATTCCTGACATGATAAGGATTTATACACACACCAGTACAAAGTGATTTAGTGCACGATAAGCCTGAGTCTTTGTACATGTTAAAATGCTATTACTACTTCAGACTCCAAGGGATTTAAGACTTGCCTTGTGAGAGAAGTCGCATTTATAGATTGCATCACTTTTTATTTTAAAAAGTAGAGGAGTTCTAAACAGTTAAGGACGTAACAGGAAGGAAGAAGTAACACAGAAAATGCATGAACTTTTGACACTAATCTTTAACTAATGCATTACACTTTGTGAAGATGAATTTGGTATACTTTATAATATCTGGGATGAGCAGGAACAGGTAGTTTCATTCACAGATACATGGGATCCCCTTCCTAGATTTATCAGTGAATTTAAATGAAGAAATTCCATGTCTGTATTGAAAAGTATCTTAGTGGAAACAAAAACAAAACACAAAAAACCCTCAAACAATGACCACCTAATTAGGTGTGCACCAGGCACTGTAAGTGTAAGAGGAATGCAGTCATTAAGCCTGAAAATAATAGAAAAATTTAGGCAACTTCTCATCCCAATCTCATTATAGACTCACTGCAGCCTTTTTGCTTACAAGATGCATGGCTTTCAAAGGCCTAAATGTTTTGATTTTTAACATTTGAAACACATCTAAGAGTGGTAAGACAGGAGAGGTCTGGTACATTTCCCCCCATCTGCTTGATGACAGATAATAAATTAATAATACTTTTTTTTATTTACTTTTCTCAATGAAATTTACATTGAACACAGCTGCAGAAACTTTCCTGTTATACAAAATTCAGATTATTCTTAAAAATACAACTAGAAAATAAAAATAGTATGTGCTTAAACTATACTATAAAGGGTCTTTTGTAATGCTTCTTGAGGTATTTTTCCCTCATCTGACTTTCATGAAATAAATTGTCAGAAACTACTGAAATGCCAGTGAAATATTTTAGATACATTTAGAGTACCCTCTCACTGATTATGTAGGCAAAACACAGCCTACAGGACTTCAAATTAACTTATGCTAGAGCACCTTGAATTATTTTCACCAAATCAGATAAAAGAAAAAAAATATTTTTTCTCTTTCTAGAAATAGAAATTATTCGACATAGGAATGTTTCTTTTTATGGCATATGTACAGAAGAAAGAAAACTTACTGAAATGCTCAATTGTTTATGCATTATCAAACGGCAGAACCAAGCATATGAGTGATTACAGAGTGGAAATGAGCAGTTAAAAGAACAAACAAAATGAAGATATAAAACTATGCCCAGAATATAAGCACTATTCTTATAAAGCATAACTATGACTTTAGCTAAAGGTAATTTTGCTTCATTTAGCCTGATTAGACATTTTTTATTAGTAAGTATATGCACACTACTACCGTCACTCTGAAGAATGATAAATGAATGTTTAGATCTGAGAATGTAAGATGATGTAAGAATGCTTTTAAAGTATCAACTCTTCTTGTCTGCTCCTAAATCAATTGCTTGTTACTATGTTATTTGGGAAATTTTTATTGGGATGCCCAATTGTTTCATAATTCAAAATGCTAATGCACGTGTATCTAAATGTATATATATCTGTGTGTGTATCTGTAGATCTATCTATCTATATATATCTGCTGCCCAGCAGAGACAAATACAAAAAATATATATAAAGAATTCAAGTAAGAACACACATGGTTTCAAGCCATTCAGAAGGACTAAACATAAATGAATTTGTGTCAAAAGCCTTAGCACAAGTCCTAAGCATTAATATGAATGAGATCATTTAGGTAGTAATAGATAATGTGCAGAGAGAACTACTGCACGCAACAGGATGACAGACAGATGAGCAAATCATGATCAGTAAGAAATCCTCTAAGGGAAACAGGGCTTTCTTTACTCTTTCATGTCTTATTAGATAGAACAGATAAAAAGCACAAGATGAAGAATTTGCGAGAATGGGATGTGTGCCTATAGGTTTCTGTACATGAGTTAGCGTTGCAGAAGAACTGTCAGAATAAGAATTTGATATCAGATCAGCTTTTTTTAACACTGATACTGGAAACAAAGTTGTTTAACAAAAAAATCTAGGTCATGCATGGAAACAAAACATATGCAGCTGCTAGATGGCACTAAAATGGGCATGTCCATTCAAAAGTGCAGAGTACTAAAATTTTAAATGCTGAACACTATAATTTTATTATTATTTTTATTGCATTATGGTTACATTACTGTTATTACAAATTTCAACCCTGCCAGAGCCCTGTCATAACAGAAACAATAGTTGTTGCCCCAAGGAGTTTACATTGTAAATTAAATTAAAGATAGCAGGTATGTGAGACAAGCAAACCAATGAAGTGGGAAAGAATAATGCAATTGAATAGGTCATTTTAACACGAAATAGCTGTTTATGAACTATTTAGCTGTAATAATCAGCCACCTGCCTTGGCATTTTCAGGCTGATGTTTTTTGAATATATTTAAGGTGCGTAAAAGTAAGACAAGTTGCTGGCTCCATATATGACTGAGTTTAACCTGTGTGAAAGAGACAAAAGAAAAAGTAATCTTTTTTGTAGGAGAAGATACAACTCTACTCCATATTTTCAGAGTTAAAGCAGAGGTGAACCTTCTAAATTTAATATTATACTAAAAATAGAGTTAGCTTTAGAGATTACAGAGAAGGTAATAGGCTTAATTTACGATACTATACCCTGAGGTGCCTCGGTTTCATCTGGGATAAAGTTAATTTTCGTCTTAGTAGCTGGTATAGTGCTGTGTTTTGGATTTAGGATGAGAATAATGTTGATAAGACACCAATGTTTTAGTTGTTGCTAAGCAGCATTTACAGTAAGTTAAGGACTTATTCTGCTTCTCACACCACCTCACCAGCTAGTAGGCCAGGGGGGAGGAGGGAGGAAGGGGGGGCATAAGAATCTGGGAGGGGACACAGCTGGGACAGCGAAACCAAATGATCCAAGAGATATTCCAGACCATATGATGTCATGCTCAGTGTATAAACTAGGGGGAAAGCTGTCGGGGGACCACTGCTTATGAACTGGTTGGGCATCAGTTGGCACTTTTCATGTTTTAATTTTTACACTTTGAAACTCAGATCCAATATTTTTGTTACTACATCTGCAATCATGAGCTTAAATAAAAATCAAGAAAGAAAAACCAATTAAAAAATTAGGAACACCTCTGCCTGATGCCTTCTTACCAAAAAAAAAGTACACTTTTTTCCCCCTTTCAGAATTATCCCCTTTCTCCTCTTTTCTTGCAAGCATCCAGATTTTAAAGTAAAACCAGAGTGATTTAAGAATTTAACACTGTTGTATTGTATCTGAGTAGTAGAAAGCAAATGATGAAGATAGCCCTTTCTAAATTAAATTCAGGAGTAAAGGTTGAAGTAGCCAACAGGAAAGAAAAAGCTGTAAAGTTAGACAGTGGTTTGCTGCACCAGTAGATACCTTGCAGGAATACTGTTCCACTGAAAAGTGTGGATTATCACCTCAGCCCCCTAATATTTACATTTAAAAAGGAAGAATGGAATGTACTATGCAGTACTTACCAAAAACTTGAAGGATTGTCTGTTTTTTATCATTTCCTGCTTTGTTTTTAGCATTACAGACATAAGGACCCGCATCAGTGTTCTTTATATCTCTTATTGTTAGTTCTGTATTGCTTCCTCTTAGCATGTATTTTTCATTTTCTTCAATAAGTTTACCATTCCTAAAAAAAAATAAGAACAATGTAAAAATCAACCAGTAGGTTCCAAACTCTGAAGCAATGTGCTGTGAATGCATCAATCTGTTGAAAATAATTTTTGAGGGAAGAGACTTCTATTATGCTCAAAAATGCAATACCTCACTTAGTATAAACTGGCAGCATGCATAGAAGGGATTTGATTTTAGCATAACCAATACTGTTCTGCAGGATGAGAGTGTTTTTTCATGAGAATGTGCACGTTCTAGACACAAAGCATTCTGAACTGCATTTTCATGTTCAAGACCCCAGGTTCATAAATTTATTGCCATGTTCTAAAACTATATACATCTTGAAAATGCTGTATCTTTATTCTTAAATGTTCAATATTGACTTAGTGTTAGAGAAATGCTTGTGAATAGAACATACAGCTTACACTCAAGGAAGTGCAGAAGGAAACTGGTTAGACACACATACCTGTATGTGAGGAACATTTAAAATCAAATTAACTAAGTGTAACTGTTGCAGTTCATATAAGTAATAATGTACCGACTTAGAAAACATATTTTAAATCTCACACAAGTGGAGACTATTGGCACACCCTTTCCAATTATTTCCTCTCAGTTGTTGTTGGCTAGCCACTACTTAGTAAGCAGGCATATCTCCAGATGTCAGAATGAGTTCTGACCAGATGGTACAGAAATAATAAAACCTGTGAACAACTCTGAGGGCTGATCAAGGCTTGACCAGTCCATTTGAGCATGTTGGCATATGCAGAGTTATAAAAACATCTCCTTTTTCAAGAGCGCAATTTTAACTTTTTTAATTTCTTCTCATTCTGCCTAGTTTGCTACAAGCTCCTTTTGATCTTATTTCTTTTGAATCCACACCCCCTTCTCACAAGCACCTACGTATAAAATTGACTGATTTTCATAAGCACTGATAATCTCGCTGACAATTCCAACTTCTTGAAAACAAACTATTTAACGATTTATAAAATGAAACCAATATGCGTTACTGAAATATTCTCTTCCATTCAATATGCCTAGTTTAGAATATACAGTTTTATTTCAAGATTGAAGCAACAATGATTTTCATGTCCTTCTCACATTATGCTGATAACTATGCAGATTTCATATTTTATAAAATTGTATTTTCCCTAAAAGAAAATACTGCTTCTTTCCTGGAAACACTAATATCTGTTAATAGGATTCCCCTGGCATCTATATAGCTTACATTTCAGTGTCATTTTGTAAATAACTAGTCAATTTATCTGTCTACTTCAAGACATTACTGTGATACTTGATCGTCTCCTTTCTAAAGCAAATCATAGGAATTGTTTTGCAGAAAAGAAGAGATCTAATTTTCCACAGTTGGTTTCACCAAAAAAATTTAGTGATTTATGTTAAGAGACAGAAGTCTATAATCAACGTAAGAAGTAGCTTCCAAATGCCTGTTATTATAAGCATCACCTATATCTATGACAATTTCGAAGCAGAAATGAGATTATAAGCATTTCCTTGGACCCTCTAGTGAACAGGAGAGATTCAGACTGATGATCTGACGTTGGAGAACAGGAAAGCATGAATAACACATTGAAAGTGGATTATTTCTTTTGTCAGATAATTCTATGTCCTGCCACTAAAGATAAAGGGAATAATCCTTCTAAACTCTACTAGTGTAAATTATTTCCACAAACATAATAAAACATCATTTTTCAGCAGGACTATTCAATGAGTAAAGATTTCCAGTTCATGACCTGTATCTTTGTATCTTTATCTTTCAGTTCCGGCTAATTTAAGTTTATTAGTGTATTGCTTCTTTTCAGAGTATATGCTTTACACGAATGTAATCAGCTTCAATAAAGATATCGGTTAAGTGGTGAACGAATTAGATTCTCTAGGTCCATGAAATATCAACAAAGTGAACATGCATACTAAGTACAGCAGCAACTAAACCTTGCTGACCTTTCTTCTTGACTAGATATTTCAAACTGACTAATTTGTAAGTGAACTAATGTTTTTTGGGTTTTTTTTTATTTTTTAAGTAGATTGACACATTAGTTAAGATGCCTCCATTTCAAATTTACAAAGCCTTAAACATTGTCATCACCTGGAAATGAAAATGGTAGATGCAAATAGTTAAAGCTTTTCCACATTAGCTACTGTCTTAAGGAGCTTAAAGTTTGAAGCTACTGTTTTGTCCAGCATCTTGCAGTCAACACAGAGGGATATATATAAGCCAGCTGAATAATACTGTCATTTATTTTAAACATACAGTTATTTCTTCATGACCTAGCTGAAGCTGACCTGTTATATCAGTACACTGGATACAATTCCACTTGTTTGTTAAAGAAAGAAACACAAATTTGAAGTTAACTTACATTCAACATCAAAAAGTACACTAAACAGAAGGAAATTTGGAGTATAACAAGTTGGCCATTAATATCAATTCAATTAGGTTCTCAATGTACAACAAGAATTTTAATATTAGATAAATCAGTTTTGACAGACTTTCCTACCACTGATAATGCTGTCTAGATTTTTCTCAAGATCAAGAAAGATTATGTTCATCTAGTTTTCCTATGCTCAGTCTAATTTCTAAAGAAAAGGCATCTTATAGGAAACTAAAGCTTTTATCTTAACATATCTGCAAAATAAGTTGAAGGGGAAGCAGAATATATCAAATGATTTTGAATCCTCTTAACCAGCTACCTATATGTGAGTGAAAAGGGATATGAACAGGTCGGGACAGAGAGCTCAGAGATTTGATGCAGAAATTTAGTACTGGAGATCAATGTAGAATAAAGTTTGATTCCTCTAGAAGAAATAATGTAGCTCCTCCCATCTTTTTTCCTTATTTGCAGATCAATAATAATATCCTGTCATGGACACCAGGGGCCTTTTCCACCTGCCACTTCACAATATCTCACTGTCAGCAAATAAAAAAGAATATTTTCAACTGCCAAGAATTTATAGCCCAATAAGACAAAATAAAAACAGAATGAAAGGGGGGAAGAAAACCCCAACAAAGCAAACAAAATAAACAAACAAAAAAGCACCAGCAGGGAAGGGAGGTGCATAAGTCAATATTCCTCACTATGAGATAGCTCCCAAAATAGGAGCAGAACAGAAGCTTCCACATTTAACATTCAGTAATCAGTACACAAGCCTGTTAAGCTTTTGTAAAATCTTTACAAAAGATACTTAATGAATGGTTTAAAAAAGCTGCCTCAGGGGCTGGCAAACCAGAAGAAAACCCTTCAGTAGACTCTGATCAATAGACACAAAGTCTGTGTCTTTCCAAGACATTTAGCCTGTGTAAATACTGTAATATTTATAAAATATTGACAAAAATCCACAAGTGTAAATAGAGATATTCACAAGCTGTGGAAATTTACGCATTCTTTCTTAACAGCATAAAACATTAATGTTGGCTGTCTTACATCTTTCAACAAGGCCATTTAGGGTACACGATTTCAGACAACTCTGAAGAATTTTGGCTGGGTAAGACAGACAGTGTAAAAAATTACTTTAAAGACCTTAAACTATCAGAACAGTCAACCTTCATTTGAATTCACTATCAGTTTTTTAATCTGGGCTCTGCAAATTTTGCTTTGCTTTTTCTTTTTCTTCACTAGATTTTTAATTCTAAGCCACATGATGGAATTAACTTTGCATTCTATGTATTTGCATATCTTGAGATTCAAATTGCACAAGGGAAAAATTTAAAATGAAGTATGACTTTTGACATGTTAAGATGTAGGTATCAGTCAAAGGAAGCTAATATTAAAAATGAATCCAACATTGTTCGAAGATTCCAAAGGAGATTAAGAGCTGATGGCAATCCCTTCTATGAAAATGTAGTGACCTTTTAATTCACCTGAAATAATGTAAGTAGATGAAAATTACTCAGGTCTAAAATAGAAATGTGCACTGGTGTGAGGTGTCTGAGATATTTTATATCCCAGGACTGATACATGTATCTTTGTTAAAATTGAAAGAACACAGAGTGTATGGATATTAATTTTTTTACAAATGTTATATGGTAAGTGTTCCCAGATGATAAAGCTATATTATCTGCATGTTATTGATAAAAACACACATGAGCTTTAAAACTGGTTCCATTTTCAAAACGTATTACATTTTAAAAATTACATAAACCACCCTTGAAACTCATGCAGTGAAACATTTCCATATCCTATGGGTGTCTAAAGCAATACCTCCTTATGAATCTCATTGAAACAGAGAGTTAGGGTTAGACTATTTTTACAAATGGGGAAAATGTTACCTTTGTTATCAGTACTGCTGATCTGTATTGGATATCTATTGCATAACTGCATATGTTTTCACTTGATGTATTCATGTGCAGAAGTTATGAGATTCTTGCTTGTACTGAGATACAGACTCATTGCTTCAGCTTTATTTATTTCCACTTAGATATGAAAAATCACATCAGTATGCTATTTTAGTTGCTCTTACATTTATCTCACTTCCTGGTAACCTGAGTGCAATTGTATTTGTCTGAGTTCATTCACCTACTAATGCTGCATCTAGCTTTAGAAGTCAGAACAGAAATGGACAGCAAATGCTCCTAAAATTCAGTAAAAAAAATTAATTAAGGTTGCCCAGCTTAATGGACCATGATAGAAAATCATGGCACATTAAAACAATGTGCTCTGATGTGCAGACTTCAACTAAACTTACCTGTACCAACTGATTTCAGGTGGAGGTGATCCAGTGGCTCTGCAGAATAAAGTTATTGCCTCTCCTCGATCTGCAGTGGCATTAAAAGATTTCTGTAGCAGAGTAATTGCTGGGGGAACTGAAAAATAAAACATTATGGCCTATTAATGGAAAATAAATTATTTTATGTGTTTCTAGAAAAATCTAAATCACAGGACAGGATCCTTTGCTAACTTTGGAATTTATAATTATACTTAGGAATCAAGTTAAAATATGAAACACTGTTACTAGTATTTCTTTACTTTTCTTAAACACAAGAATTTTAATCATTATCAGGTCTTTTTTTTTTACTAGAATATTTTTTGAAAGTCTTTTTAAGTAGTTCTTCAGTCTTTTTGCAGAACATTTTAAAGTTCTGTATGTCTAAAGCTAGACACAGCATGCATAAGACATAATAAAGTTATGATGACCACTAATTTAACTTCTTTTTTCTTTAATCTATTCTTTTAAAACAGGTGCCAGTATGTAGTAGTCTTTCATCACTGGCCTTGCAGAACTGATTCGTGGCTCTGCAGGCCAATAATGAAAGACCTGTAACAACAGGAGAGACACTGGAGGCAAGTACGGCAGCCCAGTCTTCACCACATATAACAACAACTACAACTAGGGTGAACTGAACTACTAGATATTACAATCTGAAATTCAGTCTTGCAGTCATTGTCAGTGTTCTGTAAATGATTAAAAACAATATTCCAGGTTTTACATATATATCATTTACAGTGATATAATGAAATGCAATGAATTCTATTTCCATGGTGTATTTTTAAAAAATATTAAGAATTACATTTATAGGAAAACAATACGAAGCAGACATGACAACTATATTACCCAGTTCAGTCAGGATATTTTAGAAGCTGACATATTTTAAAATAGGCTATGATAACCAAGTAAAGCAAGAAGTCAATCCGACAACTTTTACTGCTTACCATTCACAATAACAATTATGTCCCGAAAGTCAATTTCTCCTCTTGCTTCCACTCTTCCTTCACATCTGTATACTCCTTCATCACTTTTATTGATGTTAAGAATTTGGAGATTATTGTTTGCTAATACAGCAAATCGATCTAGAAAGGCAAGTAAGAGATGAAGTGGTGTTAGTAAATCAAGACAACATGCAGAACGCTTACTTAAGTGAGTAGTATTAATGTACTTCCTCTATAAAATCATAATGCTCATTGACAAAACACTCATTAATTTAAAAGTAAAATGTCAGCCAAGAAATTTGTTTTTTTTTTTCCCCAGTCCAAAATACATTGCCATTTCCTAAAATTCAATCTGGATTTTCTATCCATAACTTCCTGCTTACTCTAAGGAGTCATAAAATATAAGTTAAACTTATAAATTACTGCAAAAAGAGTGGAATATTCATGAACACCTACATAGAATTTGAAAAGATTAGAGATGGAAAAAAGATAAACCATTTATAATAAAAAAACACTTCTTCCCTATCTATATTAAGCAACTTTGTGCCCATTTTATGGCACTATGCTTATTCATTTCTCAGCTTGCTTTCTCTCCTTCCCTCTTCCTGTTCCTTTGCTCATTCACTAATACTCATTCATCAATGTATCTCACCATAGTTTAACACTTCACAGAAATGGGTACGAAGACATAATCCAACAAAGCAGTCTACCTTCTGCAGAGTGCAGCATAAACTGAAATTCAATGGACTTTTTGAGTAGCTCAAGTTAATTGAAAAAAAAATCAGATTCTGAATACATGTGCATGCATTTTCCTGCACATGCAGCAGCAAAATTATAACCTGGAAAAATAAACTGAATCTGAATTTATTTTATTCTTTCCTTTATGTCTGAACTAGTGTATTGAGTTTACATGTCAAGACATTGGCAGTAGGAGGGCTGCAGGGCAGCCTCTGTAAGGAGCAAGCGGGGCTGCCCTGCGCTGGATCCAGACAGATCCAATGGACCCACCGCAGGGCACGGCTGAGCCCTGCAGATGATGGTGGTGCCTGGGAAGGCCCAGTGGAGGAAGGGAAAAAATAACGATGTGCTCAAAACTCGAGAGTCAGGAACGAGGAAAACATGACAGAAACAGCCCAGCAAGCACCAAGCTGAGAGAAGGTTCAAGGGGAGGAGGTGCTCTAGGCACCAGAGCAGAGACCCCCCCTGCAGCCCCAGGAGAAAGCATGGTAGAACAGATATCCACACTGCAGTCTGTGGAAGACCCCATGCTGGAGCAAGTTTATTCTGAACTACTGCACCTCATGGGAAGAACTCATGCTGGAGCCATTATGGACTGACCACAAGCCCATTGCCCATCTCCCTGTACTGCCTGGGGTGCAGGAGGTAGAGAAGTCACAAATGAAAGGTGAAATTGAGCCTGTGAAAAATAAAGGGGGTGATGCTGCATTACTTCTCTCTTTCTGTTTCACCATCCATCTCTACTTAACAATAAATTCAAGTAATTTCCCCTCACTCAAATCCATTTTGCCTGAGCCGGTAATTGGCAAGTGATCTCTCTGTTTTTACCTTGAACCATGAGCTTTTTCACCTCATTTTCTCCCCTGGTACTGTTGTATTGTGTTTAAGTGGCAAGGTTTTGCTGGTCGTGTGGGAGGCTGCAAGTGTGGCTTCTGCTGGAAGCTTCCCCCATGTCTGATAGAGTTAATGCCAGCCGGCTCCAAGACAGACCCACTGCTGGCCAGGGCTAAGCCCATCAGTGATGGTAGTAGCACCTCTGGAATAACATAGTTGAGAAAGGGGAAGTTGCACAGGAGAGGAGTGAGATTATGTGAGAAACAGCTCTGCAGACACCAAGGTCAGTGCAGAAGGAGGGAAGAGGTGCTTCAGGTGACAGACAGATTCCCCAGCAGCCCATGGTGCAGGCCATGGTGAGGCAGGCTGTGCCCCTGCAGCCCATGGAGGTCTATAGTGGAGCAGATCTCCACCTGCAGCCCATGGAGGACTCCACACCAGAGCAGGGGGATGCCTGAAGAAAGCTGTGACCCAGTGGGAAGCCTGTCCTGGAGCAGGATCCTGGCAGGACCAATGGCTGGCCCTGTGGAGACAGGAGCTGGAGCAGGTTTGCTGCAGGATTGTAACCTGTGGGGGACCCATGCTGGAGCAATATGTTCCTGAAGGACTGCACTCCATGGGAAGGGCCCATGCTGGAGCAGTTCATGAAAAACTGCAGCCTGTGGGAAGGACTCACATTTGAGAAGTTTGTAGAGGATTCTCCCACAGGAGGAGAGGGTCCCAAGGGACCCCATGCTGGAGCAGGGGAAGAGTGTGAGGAGTCCTCCCCCTAAGGAAGAAGGAGTGGCAGAGACAATCTGTGATGAACTGACCACAGCCCCCATTTCCTGTCCAATGTGCTGGTGGTGAGCCCAGAGAAGAAGGGAGAGATCGGGGGGAACGTGTTTTTTAAGATTTGGGTTTACTTCTCATTATCCTACTCTTATCTGATTGGTAATTCATTAGTTTTCCCCAACACTGAGCCTTTCATTGTATTTTTTCTCCCTTGTCCAGCTGAGGAGGGAAGTAACAGAGCAGCTGTGATGGGTACCTGGCATCCAGGCAAGGTCAACCCAGGGCGCCTGTTGAGGAGGATGAGACAGTGGCTGCGGGGGTGCCTTGAAGCTGGCCAAGGTCAACCCCCTGTAACTAGTCAAATTCATGGACTTTTTTGAGGAGAATTACTTCCTGCATTTCACTGTATGTGTTTTTTTAACAACTTGCATACTTGTTATTGAGCTCTTTCTTATTCTATTTGAATCAGTGTCATTCTATCAGTATTGGAAGAGGACAAAATTTACTAGCAATTTACTAGTTTTAACTAGCAATCGAGTGTCATTTTTCACTTTGCTTTCCTTTTTGATTCTGCTAGATTTTTAAAGCATGTTAGATTTCTCACAACACAGATATTCCAAAACAGTGATAAACAACACCTGGTAGAAAAGCTTTCACATAGAGTCAATTCAAAGAGCATATGTAGATACACAGTTACAAATAAAACAGCTTTTTATGCCGAGTTCTATTTCATTGCCAAGGACTCTATCAGAAAATTAAGACAAATGGAAAAATAAAATTTAATTATGCTTCACCTGATAGAGATTTACAGGATATCAATGTCCTCAACACATTTACACTAATTATGTCTAGTTTATTAAAGTAATGCTTGAACATTAATGCTATTTCACACACTACCACATACAAATTATAAAATCTTTTTCTTTCCCATCCCTACACAATTCTAAGAAAGCTGTGCTTTATAAAGGTGAAACGTAGCCCCTCTTTAAGCATTGATAACTTTTTTCCTTCATTAACATAAATATTTAATGTACGAGATGAAAAAGAGGACTAGAGACCACCCTAATTTCTTAATGTTTTATTCTTAATGTTTTATTCTTTGGTAGGCTTGTTAAAGAATAGTTCATGCTGCTGTAAAAATGCCACTAAGTATATACAATGATACTATGCTCATTCAGCGGGAATAAATTCTGCATAGACCACATGGGTCAACCAAAGCACTGAAACCTTGACAGGAAAAGGTTAGATCTTGTTAGAACACTACTCACATGTTGTGTGGAACATTAAGTTGATTCAAAGCAGTAGAATAAATTGGTAACACAACATGAACCGCTAAGATGTTGCGCACACAAGTAACATTCACTGTCCCACAGTTATCCTAATAAAAATTGTCCCCCATATTAAATAAATTACAGTTTGTGGATGTGGACAGTGACTCAGCAATACACTCCTCTAGCTCACTGCTATGTTCTGGACTCAACTCACTGAACTCCAAACGCCTGATTTAGAAGAACGGTCACACCACCTTCCACTTCAGTCAGATGAGACATTAAGTGGTATGGATGGCAAGAGGGACTGCCCACGTCTTTTCATTTCCTCTGAGCTTGAGGAAGTTTTGGCTTATGATTTGCAAATTTTACTGTGTTCTAGGGCATGTAGCAGGCTAGGACCCACAATGTCTAACAAAAAGGTTAGGCATAGCTGTTCATTCTAAGACTAGGACATGACTAAAGATCCGTTGAATTAAAAATTAAAACTTTCAGAAAAAAAAAGAAAACTAAGACTTCTATGACATGTGTCCCTCATACAACTAAATCTGTCATTCTTTACAGAAGGGACTGTAATTTCTTCTTTTAGACCAAATAAGAACACAGCATGTTCACAATCTTAAACACAACTATCTTTGAGATGAGACTCAGCTGAGATTATGCTAGACTGAGGAAGCCATAGAACTGGATGGCCACAGCCTACCCATGATCTAGAGAGTTAGTCTGGCTGATTTGAAGTCTGTTTTATCTAGTCTTTCAGAGTAAGAGAGAATGGAAGAATGGTCAAGAATATAAAAAAGAAAGAAGTCATGAAATTAAAGCACTGACATTATCCTATGCTTTTCTATTATATCAGTGCTAGAATGCTTAAAATAGAAGCTGCTTTCTCATGTCCCCCAAACGAACTGCAATATAGAAGCCAATCTGGATATGAAATTATTCAGTATTTTAGCTTACTATGAACTAAAACCCAACATTTATTTACTTCTTTTTTTAATAGGTGTCATTTAAAATATGACAGACAAATTTCATGCTATTTAAAGTTATGCAAAAAGGTTATGGGTACTGATCCTTCATAGCGGATTTTGAAGCTGGAAATGTAACATAAAACAGAGTAATTTTATCACCCAATGCCTGAAAAAAAATTCTTAACTGTAAGAATTTGACTATACCCTTTTTCCACCTGCATTACAAACCCATATATATGTAGCCAAAACTCACAAAGTTCACAATGTCTTATTTTCAAATGGTTTAAAATGCTGCTTCCACACAGGCATGACTGGGATCTCACTTGGATAATACTTCAGAACACAAGGAAACTATTCTGGTGTTTAAATTACAACTGGTTTCTATCATTATACCTTTTTAAATTGCAAGCACTGTGAAAGAAAATGGTTAAAAAGACAAGCTGACATACTGAAATTTAAAAATTCCTAATTTTCAAAATGTATGATTTTGAAAAAGAAAGGAAATTTTGCTTTATTCCTTTGCTAATCCAACAGCAGCAAACCTGATTGGAAAAAATAAAATGAAAATAATGAAAAATTTGTGACAGACCTTTGATGCAATTTTACTTTTTCAAGCTCTAAGCTGCATTCTGTGCACAGTGAAGTTTTATCTGTGCATGCTTTGGAAACTTATTCAATTCCTATATGGCAGCTCAGGAAGAGTTCCTGCAAAGAAGTTCCCAGCAATCTTTTGTGTGTTTTGACCCTCATAATACATCTAGACAAAACTCCCAATTCGAAAAAATGATATATGAGGGAACCCATTGCACATGGATTCTCTATAGAGACCACATGACTTGGTGAAATTCTACTTATGATGACATGCTAATCAAAATCCTCCACTATAATGTGATGAGTCTTCTTTTACAATAATATTTTAAAATTAATTAGAATGTATAACTTAAAGAGTTACCAAAATACTAACTGTCAGCAATAGTTGTGACTTCCTCATTCTGATATAACCAGCTGACAACAGGAGCAGGTGAACTAGTAACATGGCAAACAACTTCTGCATCTTCTCCCTGCCTGAACTCTTGTGGAGATACTATGTCTTGGAAAGTGAGTTTTTCTGAAAAGGAAGAAAACAGAATATAGTAAGTGTCTTCCAGCTCACTTAGCACTGAAATGATATGTGACACCAAATCAGATAAAGATGACTACTAAACATTCTCATTGTGATAATACATTTAATTTTTCCAGATAGGGCTCAAGTGGTCCTGGACACATGATTTCCACTCTGTAGAAATTATTTCACAATAATTTTGCATTATGAAAACGTTTATTTATCTAAAATGAGCATGTTTTATAAACATATTTTCCATTGTTCCAGAGCCCAGTTTTGAACCCCTATTTTTTTAGATGTTTATATATTCAGGTTAATAGTCTATTTACTCTGCTATTTACTCATTATCTTATCACTGAATTAAAACCTCATGCTTTTATTCCATTGAAACTTCCATCAAAACAACCAAAATTATTTGGAAGAGTCTTATCAAAAAGGTGGAACTTTAGGCTCATTGACTGTGAAAAACATCAGCTGAATAAACAAAAAAATTTAAAAGCCAGTGGGAAACTCTACAGAAAAAAATGAGTATTATTAAGTAATAAGAAATTTTAGCATTTTTTGGAGGGAAATAATAAGATATTCTTAAGCCTGATGAGGCTTTTAATTTTTCCAACCGCAAATAACCAAACTTGATATTAATTTTATTAGTGGCCTGAATAAGTTCTGTATTATTAGAACTTAGTGTTAGAAGTCCAAGACGACACTAATCCATGATGTCATACAAGATCTAATGCAGAAACAAATTTGGAAGATTGCACACAGAACAAACAAACTGACCTATGTTCTTTAGGATCAGAAACTGCCAACTACATTTTAGGAAAAACTTTGGAGAACATAAGTCAGATGCAATTCCACCTCCACTTTTTTGTATTGGTAAAAGTTTAGGCTCAAATAATCCACAGTTCCCATAGCAGAGGGAGCACACTTTTGTTATATACATCTCTTACATACTTGTATAAATTATTTTTATGAAATATTTGAAGAATGTGACCTTATATAAGTCAGAAGAAAAACTCTCATAGGCATCAGTGAGTATTGAACCAGACCCTAGTATCCTGCTTTTTCCTTACAATACATCATAAACACAATGAAACCTTTGTATGACTGTTGCCACAAATCTTTCTATGTCTTGTATAGGTCTTCAGGTTTATCTAGCCTCAGAATTATTAAAATTACCACATTCAAACATTTCAAAAGATTTCAGCCTTGTTCAGCAGTTTGCTAATGGAGTGACTGGCAGTTTTAAGCATACAAATAAATTCCACAAAACCTGAAATCCTTTGAACGGCCAAATTTCAAGCCATCTTGTGATGACTTACAATTCCTATCACCATTTTAACGATTGTTTTATCAACAGGCTTCCTTAAATTGTATTTTTTTAATTATCCTAGTTATCTGTACCTTTCAGAGGTAATGCTTTATGATTCTACTCTGAATTTAATGTCCATTGCAATCCTTAGCGCTCAGCCCATCTAGAAATAAATTTTATGACTATTAAAAAGCTATTTTCCAAAGAAATTAGAGAATAACTCAGTTGAAAGGCTACTAGCAATGCCCTACTCTTTCACCAACAAAAATCTTGCCTTCTATCTTCACTATATACTAGTTTAATGTATTGCTTCTGATTGAGCTAAAGAATACAGTATAATGTAACATCATTTAACTAATTTGATGAACAACCCACAGCCAAACAAATAAAAACTCTAAGAAAATCTCTTGCCACAATGGAATGTATTTACTTTTCAAATCTACTCCTCAATTAGTTGTTTGCAATTGAAATGCATTTTGGATATTCATCACTGTAATCTTCAATTCCTTATGGGAAAATGTCATTATAAGGCCAAGAATAGAAAAGACTGACATAAAAAAACCCTAATTCAGTCTAAAATCCACCTTTTAATGATATATATTACACTTCCTGCCCTTTTATTTATGTGCGTATTTGTAGCATTTTGTAGATATTTTTGTAATTAAGAATTAGGTTGACATAACTTTTTTTCATATTTCCTGTTTTCCATGAGGGACCTACAGTGCACTCTCATTAGATGGCATCCTAAGGAAAAGTGAGCCATTATATTTGAGTATTATAAAGTAGCCATCCATTTTATTTAAGTCTTTGTTGTAATATCTATTAACTAATCTGCAGGGGATGCAATTATTTGGAAGATAAGGTTCAGAGCCTAGAAAGATATTTTGTATAGGCTTCACTTTTTCAATAGCAGTGGCTTTTAAAACATAGTCTTTCATTTGATAATATTTTACTTACGATAAATTTCCAAAACAACAGTAGCTTCTTGAGTTTGTCCTTTAGCATCTGATGCTTGACATCGATATATACCAGCATCTTCTATATCTGCATTGTAAATGGTCAGACGTGATCGAACACCTTCTTTCTGAACAACCACTCTTTGACTAGAAACAATCTTCTCCCCTTGTGGACTGTACCAATCTATGTTGTCAGGCTCACCAATGGCTATAAACAAAACCAAAAAACAATCCAACATTAGAAGTTCAGATAGACATGCTTACCAAATGCACAATGTCTACGCAATGTCAGAGAACTGCTAAATTCTTGAGAGTTGTGAGAAAGTCTGTAGAAAGACAAGCAAGGCAAAACTGCAGGCAGATGTCTTATTGTTGAGACTAGTAGCTCAAGAATTGAAGAGGGAAAAAACCAGAAAGATATAAAGTCTTAAAAGAAAGAAACAAGCCATTCAGCAGCCACTGATCAGCAGGTCAAGTCATCAGTCAGTTGCACTGTCAATGCAGTCAGGCCATGTGTCATTGTCAATGGAAGATGGCTACTCAGCAACATCAAGGATCCTTATCAGCAGCTGCAAATGCAAACTCTTCTCCTAAGACCTGGCTCACCGCAAAAAACTTTTTGGGTGCCTCATTAGGCTGGAGAGGATAGTAAAGCTTAGCCTAGTAGCTTATTTAACTCTCTAAATTAGACAAGTGAAACTATTTTAACTAAAGAAGCATCCTAAAGTATACAAACTACCTGTATTCATACAGACAATTCAACCTGAGCTATTCAGTCTGTAAGAAATAGTTTCTAGACTGGAAACCAATGAAGCCAATGAAGATCTACTATTTATCACAATTTTCACAAGTCAATGGAATATACAATAATACACTAACTTAATACTGTGAATCAATTAAGACAGTTTCAAATTATGTACCCTAACTATGCTATGATTCTATGTAGAAGGTTCAAAATACAAAAAAAAAGTACCTACAAGAAAAGTGAATACATACCCGTGCATGTGAAGAACTTGGATTCACCCACACTCAGCTCAACTTTGCTAAGTGAAATTGTAACTTGAAGTAGAGCTGAAAAATATAAAGTAGGTTATGAACACATTTTGGCATTTATCAGTTAAAATGTTATATTTTCAGGTTTTGTATTTTCTGTTTCTATACTACAGAGCCTGTGCAACAAATCTGAAAAGTTTCAGCTAAGAATTGTATCTTTAGAGCTGGAGTATACATAGAGGTGGAGAAAAGAATCAAAATAAAGATGTTACATGAAGGATAACACCCTCAAATACTAAAACTTATGACAAAATTAGAGAAAAAAAAAAGTAGAAGGGATTGAATGACACATGAACCAAAACCTCAGTGTGTATCTGAAGTTTTAAAAAACACTGTTTCAAGAATCTGAGGTTTCCAGTCTTAAAATGTAATAATTATGGTTTATTATGTGTATGTGGAAATATTTCATCTTGGTGAAAACTGCAACACGAACATTGAGTATACGCTGTATACTCAATACCCAAGTCCCAAGATCACTAGATTATTTTTATATAATTGGTATGAAAGTACACAGGATTTGGAGAAGGCTGAGGTTCTGAATGACTTCTTTGCCTCGGTCTTCACTGGCAAAGGCTCTGACAGCACCACCCAAGTCTTGGAAGGTAGATACAGGGACTGTGAGAATGAAGACCTTGTGCCCACTGTAGGAGAGGAGCTGGTTCAAGACCATCTTAAAAATCTGAAAGTGCACAAGTCCATGAGACCTGATGAAATCCATCTGCGGGTCCTGAAGGAGCTGGCGAATGAAGCTGCTAAGCCACTGGCCATCATATTTGAAAAATCATGGCAGTCAGGTGAAGTTCCCAATGACTGGAAAAAGGGAAATATAACCCCCATTTTCAAGAGGGGGAAAATGGATGACCCGGGGAATCACAGACCAGTCAGTCTCACCTCTGTGCACAGAAAAATCTTGGAGCAGATTCTCCTGGAAGGCATGCTAAGGCACAGGAAAAACAGCAAGGTGCTTGGTGACAGCCAGCACGGCTTCACTAAGGGGAAATCTTGCCTGATCAATTTGGTAGCCTTCTATGATGGGGCTGTGGAACTGATGGACAGGGGTAGAGCAGTTGATGTCATCTACCTGGACTTGCGCAAAGCATTCAACACTGTCCCACACAACATCCTTGTCTCTAAATTGGAGAGACATCAATTATGATAGGTAGACCATTCAGTGGATAAACAACTGGCTGGATGGCTGCACACAAAGAGTTGTGGTCAATGGCTCAATGTCCAGCTGGAGATCAGTAATGAGTGGTGTTCCTCAGAGATTGGTGTGGGGACCAGTTTTGTTTCACATCTTTGTAGGTGACATGGACAGTGGGATTGAGCGCGCCCTCAGCAAGTCTGCCAATGACACCAAGCTGTGTGGTTCGGTTGATATGCTGGAGGGAAGGAATGCCATCCAGAGGGACCTTGACACACTTGTGAGGTGGGCTGATGCCAACCTTATGAAGTTAAACCATGCCATGTGCAAGGTCCTACACCTGGGTGGGAGCAGGCACAGCTACAGGTTGGGCAGAGAAGAGATTCAGAGCAGCCCTGTGGAGAAGGACTTGGGGGTGCTGGTCGATGAGAAAATGAGCATGAGCCGGCAGTGTGTGCTCACAGCCCAGAAAGCCAACCATGTCCTGGGCTGCATCAAAAGGGGCATGACCAGCAGGTTGAAAGAGGTGACCCTCTACTCTGTTCTCATGAGACCTCACCTGGAGTATTGTGTGCAGTTCTGGTGTCCTCAACATCAAAAGGACATGGAACTGTTGGAACAAGTCCAGAGAAGGGCCACAAGGATGATCAGGCGACTGGAGCACCTCCCGTATGAAGATAGACTGAGAAAGTTGGGGCTGTTCAGCCTCAAGAAGAGAAGCCTGCATTGAGACCTTATAGCAGCCTTCCAGTATCTGCAGGAGGGCCTACAGGGATGCTGGGGAGGGACTCTTCATTAGGGACTGTAGTGACAGGACAAGGGGTAACGGGTTAAAACTTAAACAGGGGAAGTTTAGATTGGAAGTTTAGGGTGGTGAGGCACTGGAATAGGTTGCCCAGGGAGGTTGTGAATGCTCCGTCCCTGGCAGTGTTCAAGACCAGGTTGGACGAGGCCTTGGGTGATATGGTTTAGTGTGAGGTGCCCCTGCCCATGGCAGGGGGGTTGGAACTAGATGATCTAAAGGTCCTTTCCAACCCTAACCATTCTATGATTCTGTGATTCTACAAAAGGACAAACATCTCTAGAGGTGAGAAGTACTAAATTCCAAACTAACTTTTTGGTGTGAAAAAACTTAAACTATTCTTAACATTTTGTACCCTGCCCTCCATAAGAAAATGACTAAGAAGAAAAACCACAAAAAGCCCCCAGGAACACATCCTATTTCAGGCAAAAGTAAATGCTTGTGTGCACTCTGTTTGCTAACGTCAAAACCTGTCAGTCCATAAAGACCATCAGGAAGAAGACATGACTATCTAGAGGTGACAAAGAAACTGAAGTGGACTATAAAAATGTTGAACCTAATACCAGAGCACATACTAGTACCATTTTCTTTGCAATAGCAAGGAAGACAGCGAAGGCTGCTTTGGAACACAAGCATAGCACTGACAGAGAAAGAGACTGATCATTCTCATCTGTCGCGTTTACGTCCGTGGTACCAGAAGAAAGGCCAAACTTAAGAATAGGAAAGGAAATGCATTTCGAACAAAGTTTTATTTTTGTCTTAATAAGCATCAAGGAGTAATAAATCAACTAGGAGGCTACTCAAAGCCCCATTTCTTTATTTACCCGTGAGGCTAAACTCCATTTTAATCTCAGGACATACAACTGTTTGGTTGGAAACTGAGGTACTAATCAGTCCATTGGTTGGAGAATTTCAGGAGATTATAGCCCAGACACTTATTTCAAATCACAGACTCATTTTTTTAGGTCCTGTGCCACCACTTATCTGTATTTTTTTATAAAGTTTGTAGTCTTGTAGAGTTACTTCAGAAATGCATATGTCAGCATTTCAGCAGCATTGCTTCAAGGACAATTTCACTTCTTAGTTCCAATCAGTAAGTGATGTTGAACTACATAAATGTAATAGATTAAGTAAAAAATGTCAGGTAGAAAGTAAGGAACTGCATGATGAGAGGTGAAAAGTTAGAAAAATATATTTTCCTGATCAATGAAATAGGTATTTGAGTCTGTAAAACACAGTTTTGGCAAAGGGCTGAACTCCACTTAAAATTCTTAAGTACAATTATAAACTCTGCGAAGACATGCTAGCTACATCTCTGAAACCAAAAGGAAATAATATTTTCTACATATGATACATATATATATATTTACAAGATAGAAAAATATAAGACCATCTGTTCATTTTCCCCAGCTCTGCTTCATCTAAATAGAGCAAACCAGAAAGGAAAATTTTGCCAAGTGATTAATCTAGCAATCTGTGCTTATTAAGTAGTCAGGCAAATAGTTCAATAGTTTGCTAGTAGAAGGATCACTCATCACTTACTGAAAGTAAAATACTGCAAAGAAACAACCCATCCAGAAAGTTTTATATTACTTTCAAATTTATTACAAGTAGAACTACATAAGTGCATTAGAGCGCTATAAACTCTGATGAAGATGGCATGCAACGTATGCACAATTCAAGTCACTGCTGTACACTAACAGCTAATGGATTAATATAAAGGGAGTTATTTGTACAGACTGGTCAGAACGTCTTTGAACACACAGGTGAATGCTTATTTTATCAGGTCAGCAAAGATGTTCAAAAAAATTCAAGTCAGTAGAGGCTCTGTATAGCTATGTTAAACTAAGTCCAGAAATTGATAGTATCTTCTTGACAGATGCGACAAAATAGTCCCAAGCTTCATAACTAGCTGCAAAGAATAAATAAATAAAAAAATCAATTAAAAAAAGGCAAGATCTAGAAGATGTCTTCAGGTACACTGGAATGTAATGCTACTGTAGTATAGCTGTTCTGTGAAAAAGTAAAGTCAATCAGGGCTTCTTTTAGTCTTCAGTACATGTTCAGTTTTGTAGCAAAAAAAATCCAAAACACTATTAGCACTAGGGGGTGCAACCAATCCCTTCCCTTTTGATCATAGTCATTATAAAAGAATTATTATCAACTGTACCACACTAAGCAGATTCTGTTGAATTATTCCTTAATGGGTTTAAAAATCACTTAGGAAGATAAGTAAGAGCAGTAATAAGAGGTCTATTTGTTCTGTTAAACATGGAGACAGGTGACTATTCGTAAGGCCTAATATGCACTAGACTAATTGATTTCAGCACCATTTGCAGGAGTATCCTTTCACATTCAGATCAATAGATCTGAATGCATTTTTGAATTTACTGTTGAACAAAGAGACAGCACTCTGCTACAGAGATGTCCTTCTAAATATGTTGGGCTGCAAACCCACTGAAAGGGAGAGGATAACGTGAAGGCAGTAAATAGGAATGGGCACGGCTATGAAGACAAAACAAAGCACAGCCTGGTATCAACATGGAACAAAGGAGAGGAGCAATAGCTGCGGAGGCTAATTTTGATGGCTTTGGCAGTGACTTTTAGGAAAAACAAGTAGACTGCAAGATAGCTGAGGACTGTATTCTTTGCGAAGGTCCTAATTCAGTTTTCTGACCACAGTTACACCCTAAGCTATTACTACGCTTTGTCTTCAGGTAGAAAGTAAACTCACTTGGGTGATGTGTTTTTTCTTTCAGTAAATGATTACAATAGTATTTAATATTTAATATGTTTAGAAAACTTGCCTTCATTTATTGTGGGCATGAAGAAATTAGTATGTTTTTAATTGGTATCAAATTCAATCCCAGAATCACCCAGTTAATCCTTTCCTCCTTTATTATGCATGCTTCTGAGAATACTCTGCTTAAATCCACTGACTCTCAGATAAAAGCAAATGGGCTCTGAATGAAAATTACACTTGCAGAAATGTATTCTCCCTTAAATTTCTAAGATTTTCTAGTTTAAATATATTTTAAACACCAAAAACTGTGCTCTGTTTTCTTTTATAAC